AGGGAGAAGCAGACTCCCTGCCGAGCAGGGAGCCCGATGCGGGACCCGATCCTGGGACTCCAGGATCATGACCTGAGCCGAAGGCAGTCACCCAACCAACTGAGCCACCCAGGCGCCCAACATCTTTATAATGTTGACTCATCCTATCCAAGAGCTGGGGATGTATTTTCAATTATTCTTCTTTAGTGTCTTTCAAAAATGTTTCGATTTTTCCTCATATAGTTTTTTTAAGAGTAGTTATATTTCAAAGACTTTTTAAAAAATATTTTATTTATTTATTTGAGAGAGAGAGAGAGACGGTGAGAGAGGACACAGGCAGGGGGAGTGGCAGAGGGAGAGGGAGAAGCAGGCTCCCTGACGAGCAGGGACCCTGATGTGGGGCTCCACCCAGGACCCTGGGATCATGACCTGAGCTGAGCGCAGACGCTTAACCGACTGAGGCATTCAGGTGTCCCTCCTCATATAGGTTTTATACATTTCTAATTAAAATTGTTCCTAAGCATTTACACTACATCAAAAACTAATGATGTAATGTATGGTGATTAACATAACATAATAAAATAAAATAAAATAAATTGTTCCTAAGCATTTAATCTTTTTTGTTGTTATCACAAATAGGGTTTTCCCTGTACTGTTAGGACCTCTGTTTATTGTTTGTATATATAAAGGCTATTGAATTTTATATTTTAATTTTACACCCTGCTACTTTCCTGAACTCTTTTACTGTTTGAATTAGTTTTATCATTGATTCTCTGTGGTTTTTCAGGTATAATATTTTGTCATCTGCAAATAGAGATAGTTTTATTTCCTCTGTACTTATTGTCAGGCCTCCATTTGATTGGTCTTGTCTAATGGCATTAACTACCTATGTGGAATAGTGGTGGAGGAAGTGGCCATTCTTGTCTGGTTCCTGATCTTCATGGAAATATTTCCAGTGTTTCTTGATTAAATAAGATGCTGGCTTCAGGACTACATTTTATCATTTGAGAAAGTATCTCTCACTTCCCATTTCACTGAGTATTTTTATCATGAATGGGTGTTGAATCTTGTGAAGGGCTTTCTTGGCATCCAAAGAGAATATTATATGGTTTTTCTCTTAGATCCATTAATATGGCACATGCTTATTATCGGTTCACTTGTGTCCCCTAAAAGATGATGCCGTCTAACCCCCAGTACCTCAGAATGTAGCCTTCCTTGGAAATAGGGTCTTTAAGGAGGTGATCAAGAAATGAGGTCATTAGGGTGGACCCTAATCCAATATGACTGGTGTCTGTATCAAAAGGGGAGTTTGGGACACAGAGATGGATACACACAAAGAGAGAACACTTGTGAACATGAAAATATAGATCAGGGTGTTGTGTCTACAAGCCAAAAAAATGCCAAAGATTGGGTGCCTGTGTGGCTCAGTTGGTTAAGTGACTGCCTTCAGCTCAGGTCATGATCCCGGAATCCTAGGATTGAGTCCCGCATCGGGCTCCCGGCTCAGCAGGGAGCCTGCTTCTCCCTCTGGCCCTCTCCCCTCTCATGCTGTTTCTCTCTCTCTCTCTCAAATAAATAAATAAATAAATAAATAAATAATAAATAAAGTCTTGAAAAAGAAATGCCAAAGATTGCCAGCCAACCACCAGAAGCGGGGAGGAGGGCACAGAACAGATTCTCCCTCACAGCCCTCAGAAGGACCCAGCCCTAATGACACTTGATCTAGGATTTCTAGGCTCCACAACTGTGAGACAATGCATTTCTGTTGCTTAAGCTGCCCAGTTTGGGGTACTTTGTGATGGCAGCCCTAGTAAGCTAATGCTATTAACGGATTCTCTAATGTTAAACCGATCTTGCATTCCTGGAATGAATCCCACTTGGTTCTGGATGGTTCTTAATAAAATCCAGGATACTAACAAAATATAGGCAATGTTTCAGAGAGTCATGGGATTAAGAGCAGCTGAAAGGTAATCTTGTCCTCTGTATTACCAGTCTCCATGTGGCTGCTGGAAGTCCATTGCGACCTTCCCATTTCCTGCACTCTCAGGGGAATACCATTAGCAACCTCCCCCAACCTGAAAGTTCTGAGTGTCTGACTCACCTCTCTCCCTACAATCCTTGGCTACAATCCTCCCTACAGCCTCTTGCCTGGATGGGAGTAGGGGAACTGTTAGACATGGTTATTTGAATCTTTCCCCCAAGACACCAGCCGCTCCCCATGCCGAGGGGCTTCCTTTAGGCTTCTCAAACAATAGCTAGCCAATTCGATCTGCTGAGATTTTTGAAAGAAATTATTATTATTGTAAGAGTTTCACCTGGGAACCCTTGTTACTCCCAGAAGCAGTCAAGATAAGGGTGTTCTGGCCTGGAGCAGAGAAGATTCTGTGCCCGGGCTCTGGTGAGGTGGGGGGGTATGGAGACCTGCAGAACTGTGGAAAGGGCGGTGGGTTAGTTTCGGGGGACAAAAGACTCTTCCAAGAGGAGTTGAAAGAGCTGCCCTGCGAGGGAATGTGCTCCCAGGTACAGGGGGATGCAAGCAGAGATTGGCTAGCCAGTCAAGGGGTCTACAGAGGTGGCTTTTCCCTGGGCCAGAGGAGGAGGAGGGGGAGGAAAAGGGCACAAGAGTGGATAGGTGTGGATCCCAGTTCTGCCATTTTCTCGCTGTGTGACTGGGGCATCTCCCTGAGGCTCATTTCTATCATCTGCGAAATGGGCCTAATGAGGGCTCCTGCAGAGGCCGGCTTCGAGAACCGAACGGGAAAGCACTTACACAGCAGGCCCTGTGACGCCACCGGCCGATGACTCAGTTTATGAAAACCGAGTGCCACAGAGCATCATTAGAGCCTCACCCTTTCCTCAAGCTTGCTGGGAGACCAGGTTCTTCCTGGCTTGTCTGCAGACTGTGCACAACTCCCCACCCCCCGCCCCCAACAAGAGCAGGGCTGGTGCCTCCCCGCACCCCCAACCGGGATGGGTGCCCTGGACAGGTCACTGTCTCTCTCTAGGCCTCTCTCCTCATCTGTCAGAGAAGGTGGGTACTGCCAGGGATGGGCTCAGAGTGGGCCCTCCCAGTTCTGACCTTCTGGAATGCTTGGGCTTCTAACTAACCATGTGTACATGTCTCCTTTTGTGAAGACCCAGTGTCTTCACAAAATGAGGGGGTTGGACTGGATGAACATAGCATCAGCTGAACTGTGCCGAGCACTTACTCTGAGCCAGGGGTCCCTCTAGGGGCTTCACGGGGATGGCCCGTTTAATTCCCACAACCCCATAATGTGAAGGCTACTAGACTGATTTTGTAGGAAGCAGAGAGGTTAGGTGACTTGTCCCGGGTCACACTGCTGATAGGAGCCCCAGGCAGTGAGTCCTGAGTTCAGGCTTCGGATCACCACATGACACTCTTCTTGTGGTTCCAACACTCTGAAAACAAAAGGGAGACCCAACATCCACCGTTTTTACAGGGTGAGGCAAATGTCTTCTCAGACATGATCCAACACCCTGCATGATGGGGCCGTAGCGGGCCCCACGATTTGCCTGGACGTGATCATCACACATTTCCGCTAGAAGCCCAGTTTCCAGGCAGGAAAGGGGCTAGAGGACTTGCCTGGATCACACAGCCAGTAACGGGCAGAGGAAACCCTGGAGCCAGACCCGCCTGGCTTCCCCCAGTATTACCGTCTTCCCCAGAATGAGCCTCAACCGCACAGGGACGGAGGCCGAGACTCCACCACTGACTCTTAATTAAGAGAGGCAGCGAGAGTTCAGGGCCCGGGAGGAAACACAAACAACAGGGTGGGAACGCTGAAGAAGCGGGTGGGGCCTCGGAGTGGAGAGGTGGGGGTGGGGCTCGGGGATGGAGGCCCTGGCGCTAGAGGCCTGATTATCAGCGCTTGGCTCCCGGAGAGGGCAGGAAGAGCCTTCCAGACAGCCGCAGAACGGCGTGAACAAGGTCTGGGGGTGGGGGAGGCGGCGGCCTCGAGAGGAGCCTGGGGTCTGGGGAGGCTGCAGCCAGGGCACAGGCCGGGCAATGGGGTGTGAGTGGGGGAGGCAGGCACAGGGGCAGTTTTGGAACAATGTTCTGTGGGTGGCCGGTCATGGCTGCATCTTTGAAAGTCTCCCTTGGCTGGATAGGGACTGGGCGGGTGGGGAGGAGGAGGCGGGGCTGGAGCTGCACCCAGCGGAGAAACATCTGGGAGGTCTGGGACAGAGATTGTGAGGTGGTGGCCCGGCGGTCTGAGTGCCTGAGAGGTTAATGAGATCATTAACCGAGACTGAGAAGCCCGGTGAGCGGGCCGGAGTTTCTCCATCTGCAAAGTGGGCTGGCACAGATCAGAGAGGCAGGTCTATCCAGAGCCCTGCGCCCCTACTGTGTGCCGCGGTTGGTCATTGCACACACCTTCTCAACCTCACGGCAGAAACACGCCACTGCTGTGGCGGGCCTATCAGAGCGCGCGGAAACGCTCACTATGGGCCTGGGGCCAGATCTCCGCATCTGACCGGGGCCTTCCTGCGTGTGCCGCGCGGGGGCTCTAGGTTCCCCCTCCTCCTCATCCCCAACCTCGGACATGGGGAAGAGATGGGCACTCGCCCCTTCAGGTTCCTCTTTTCCCAGCCCCGTTCTGGACCCTGCAAGATGCATGCCCAAAGCTCGGCCGGCCTGCAAGCCTTCCGCGGCGCTGGCACACAACCCTCGGGCAGACGGGGGCTCGGCCCTGGGGGGCTCCCGGAGATACTCCACGGCGGACAGTGCGAGATTGGGACGGAGGGAGGGAGACCGGGGGCCGGATCGAGCCGAGAGGGGTCGGGCCGAGCCGCGCTGGCCCCCGAGTCCCCCTCCTACCCCCGAGCGGGAACTCGGCGGCCACCTCCCAGTCGCTTCGCCCCGCGGCACGGCGCCAGTTCGCCTGCGCAGCAGTCCTGGCCCGCCCGCCCCGCAGGAGACCACGCCTCTGTCCCCAAATGGGCGGAGGCCGCGGGGCGGGGCGGGCCGCTGCCCGGGAGTCCGAGCTCGCGCCCCCGCCTCAGGCAAGCCCCAGAGGGATTCCCCGGCCCGAGCCGGAGGCCGGTGCTGCCCGGGTTCCCGTGCCCGCGCCGTGCCCTGAGTCCGAGTCCGGCCCGAGTCGCGGCGGCGCGGCAGGTAGGAGGCGCTGCGCAGAGGGAGGCGTGTGCGAGCGCGCGTGTTCGTGTGTGTTTCGGAGGTGTGTGTGCCGGTGCAGCGCCGGCCGGTGCGTGCCCGGTGAGCACGAATCGGTGTGCGGGTGCGCTGCCCGCAGGCGGGGGAGGAAGGAGGTGAGCGCGGGCCTTGAGGCCCGGGGCGGGGGCCGGGGGTTTCGACGATCCGCCCCCGCCCCCGGGGCTACTGCCCACCCCCATCCCCACCCCGCGGCCAGGGGCCTCTTCCAGCTCCCCCCGGGTGGGTGCTCCGGAGCCAGATTCTTAGTTCCGACGCGCTGAGGTTTCACCCCCGGGACTTGACTGTTTCTTCTCTTCCTCACAGTTCCCCTTTCCTGTTCTCTTCCCAGCCCTCCATCCGTTCAGTTCCACCACCTCACCTGGATGTCCGCCCAACCCCGGCCCTGGAAGCTTGGGAAAGGGGCAGGGCCAAGGCGGATTCCCTTCCCGACCCTCCTGCCAGGTTGGATAAGGGCCTGTTTTCTGGGCTGCTGGGCTTGGGTGCGTCAGAGGGGGCCGGGGGAGGCGGGGAGCTCTGGGAGAGAAGGGATCTTGGGCTTCTCTGATCCTGCCTCCACCCCCCAGAGTTGGGGACGCGGGGAGACCCGCCTGGGGTCCAGAGGTGAAGTAGAACAGAAGATCATGAACAGGTGCCAAGTCTCTCCAGGTTTCATTTCATGTGGGATTCAGCCCCAGCCCTCACTGGGGTGTGAAGGGTGGGGCAGAGGGTGAAGGGAGCTACCTTGTCTCTCAGGGCTGCGGAGCCAGAATTTGAACCTGGCTCAGCTTGGTTCTCAAGTCAGAATCTTCTTCCTGTATCAGCGTTGGAGAGTGAAGTGCTGAGGCCAAGTATTCCTAATATCCTAGGGAGGGAAAAATCTGGGAAGACTTCCTGGAAGGGAGGGGGTTTGAGGGTAGGGCTCAGCCAACCCTGAGTGTGAGGCCTCCTGGGGGAAGCCACTGTGTTCTCTTGCAAGGATTGAGACCTCTCAGGATCTTTGGGCCTGGTCCCTCCTCCTGGGGTAGTAGGGGTGGGGAGGCCTGGCTGAGGAGACTGGGCAGGGTTGGGTGGACCCGGCTGCGGCTGGTTTTCTGCCACAGCCGGGCGTGTGGTCTCAGGCCAGGCCAGAGGTGGGCGCTGGGACAATGAGGTGGGGTCACTGCCCTATGAGGCTCCCTTCTGACTGGTGAGGCAGATGGGTCAACAGATAAGCCCCAGCGCATGTACCTAGTGCTGGAGCCCGGCGCAGGGACCTGCCTGGGAACTGGGGGAGATTTCCCTGCAGATAGAGTGGTGCTGGGTCTCAAGGGCTGAAAATTTCATCAAGCAGAAGAGAAAGGGCATTGCAGGTCCAGGGAGAAGGCCTGGAGGTGGGAAGCGGAATGATAGCCCCGTGGGGAGGGGCAGTAAATGGTCAGGTGTGCGTCTGACAAGTGTCACCCATCTTTGGCTCTGTGTTGGCTGGGTTACTGTGGAGGCCAGTAAGGAGGAGGCCACAGCAGGCAGAGGCCCTCTCCCCCCTCCCCTGCCTCTCCTCTGCCCTGCCCCCCACCCAGGGCTAGGGGATCTGATAGAGATTCCCCTAGCAGGGGTGGTGTGAATGCGCTGGGGCTGCACAGGGACCTGGTGCAGAGGGTGCAGAGGGAGCGTGGGTCGGGGAGCCCCTTTTGAGATGGGGCCACCATTGGGGGAAGTCAGTGAGATGGAAGCTGGCTGTGGGAGGACTGTGGGCTCTTGGGGGTAACATCCAGGACACTGCTTCCAGGCCTCAGGCTGCTTCTGCCTTCCCCGCAGGCTCTCAGGACAGCCCTGAAGCTCTGGTCCCCGAATAGGAGGCCCCCTCGGAGCCCTCAGAGGGCACCTGGAAGCTTCTTTCCGCCACCTCTCCTACCTGTGGGGCCTGGCCTTGTGTGCAGGCTTCTCTGAGCCTGGCTCTGCCTTTGCCTGTGCCCAGGGATAAATGCTGCCTAATGACAGGGGTTCAGGGGACCATGATGACGATGAAGGTAGATCGTGTCGCTAAAAGTGCTGTACTAAGTACGCAAAATGGCTATCAAACTGGTGTTTGATAGTTACTATAATTTAACAGTGTGGTTGATCCTTGAAAAACATGGGTTCGAACTGCACAGGTCTACTTGTGCGAGGGTTTTTTTACAGTACAGTACTGTAAGTGTATTTTCTCTTCCTTATGATTTTCTTAATAGCATTCTCTTTTCTCTAGCTTCGTTTAGTATAAGATCGCGGTATATAACACATACGACAAACAAGATACGTGTTAATCAACTGTTTATGCTATCGGTTAAGCTTCTGGTTAACAGTGTGTTAATCAACTGTTTATGCTATCGGTTAAGCTTCTGGTTAATAGTAGGCTATTAGTAATAAGGTTTTGGGGGGGAAATCAAAAGTTATACCTGGTTTTTGACTGTGGGGGTATCTGCACCCCTAACGCCTGCCCCAGCCCCGCTGTTGTTCAAGGTCAATGGTAATTAACAGCTGGTATCACTTAGTCCCTTCTTCCCTGCGGGATACAGCCCACAGTAAGGAGGGGCCCACTTTGGGAGAAGGGTAAAAGGAAAAAGGTTTTCTCCCACTGAAGTGGAAGTGCCCCCCACCTCGCCCCCCTTCACCAGGTGAGGAGAGCTGTGAGTGGCTCCGAAGCCCTGAGTGGGTGGTCTTGCTGTCTACCTGCCCAACCAGGTCCCTGGGCCTCCCGGAGCCTCCTATCCCTGAAGGGTCATACAAAAAGCTTGGCAGAGGGCCTTGAGCTACCCCAGCTGCAGAAGGCAGGTCTGCAACTCCCTGCCCCAAGCAGCTCCGCGGCTCCCCAGCTCCGCAGCTGGCTTGGGGCCTGCACAGACAGATGGGGAGTCTGTCCATCCAGAAGGGGAGTCAGCCCGACCTCAGCTGGTCTTCTCACCTCCCTCCCCCTGCCCGCATATCCTCAAGTGTTCTGAGTGCCTTTAGGGCCCCTTCGCTCCAGCCCTCAAGTCCCCAGGGAGCTCTTCTGCCCCTCCGTGCCTCGCCCTTGCTGCTCAAAACAGTTCTTGCCTCGGCTTCAAGGCCTCCCTGGTTTTGTAGCTTCTCCTCCCTGGGTTGATGGTGACACCCTGGGATTTCATTCAGTTAGGCCAGGCTGGGCCAGGCTGCCGACTTCCCTTGGCCTCAGGCCCTGCTTTTCCCTGCTTACTAAAGGCAAAATGGGCTAAGTCCTTTTGGGGTTTTAATCCAGGATGTAGGAAGGCAGCCCTCAGGCTCCGACACAGGAAGCTAATGGAATGTGAGCATTTGCTTGCTGTCGTGGCCTGAGTTACTGCTCCCCATTCTACCTGCTAGGGGCCGCAGCTTTCGCGGGGCTCTGGGGTATGAGGGTGCCAGTGGCTGAGGCTGCGGTGGCCTGTGGTTTTCTGCCACAGCGGGGCATGTGGTCTTGTGGGAGAAGGGGCTAGCGGCCAGAGCAGACGAAGCCCATGTATTGGTACTCAGCGCACCATCCCTCATGGGCTGCGCTGAGGGGCTGGCCACGGGGCCTTGCGTCCTGGGGGACAAAAGGCAGAGAGCCGGCCTGCCACTGGGTGACTTGTGCCATTCACGGTGAGGTGGGCCCCCAGTGGTTTGTGACCCACAGCAGGAACTAAGACACCGAAGTTTGGGGTGACTTTGTTTTATGTTGAAGCAATTCAGGACGTAATAACTTCATCCTCGCTTGCTCGTGCACTCACTGCCTTGAGCAGGAGAGAGGTGTGAGGCCACACACATGCCTGCCCACGGCCTTCTCCAGGCTTAGGATTTGTTTCCTCTTGCTGCGGTAGCAGGGAACGTAAACTTAATGGCTTGAAACAACACCAGTTTATTCTCTTAGAGTTTTGGAGGTCAGCAGTCTGAATTGAGTCTCCTGGGACTAAAAGGGTGTGGGCAGGCCGGTTCCTTCCCAAGGCTCCATGGGAGACTGCTCCTTGTCTCTTCCAGTTTCTGGTGGCTGCTGGCATTCCTGGGACCCCCGCATGACCCCGGTCTCTCGCTTGCGTTGTCCTCTTGCCTGGTCCTCTTCTGGGGTCACATCTCCCTCTGCCTCCCTTGTACAAGGACACCTGTGATCACATTTAGGGCCCGCCTGGATAATCCAGGATAATCTCCACAACTCGAGACCCTTACATCTGCCAAGTCTCTTTTGCCCTATAAGGTAATAGTCTCAGGTTCCCACGGTTAGGGCATTGATATTGGGGGGTGGGGACATTAGTCAGCCTGCCACACGGACCTACTGCACTGTTATTGCAGGCCATTCTGAGAGATCCCCCTCCCGGGAGCCCATGGCCACTGGCTTTCCCCATGCGGTCCCCCTCAGTGTCGCCCCTCCCCCCTCCACAGCCCAGGAGGTTTTGTGGGCAGAGTCTGGGGCAGCTGCACCTTTGGCTTTAGAGCCCAGCCTGAGACCATGGTAGCCAGAGCTCAGGGCTATTTGGAAGAGGGGAATTGCTGGCCTGTCCCCACGGGTTGCCCCAGTGACCAGACCCTGTCCTGCACCTGACAGTAGGTTAGGCCTTTCAGAGTGGTGCACAGCTCTTTGCAGACATTCATTCAACAAACCCAGTGTTGTGCAGGGTCACCTGATCCCCACCATCATCCTATGAGGGTTGGGGCCTGGTGGGAGCCCCGTTTTGCAGATGAGTATGGTAAGGCCAGTGAGGCTAAGCCCTGCCTGGAGCAGAGGTGTGTGGGAGCTGGGCCAGGAGAGCAGAAGACCTTCGTTGTACAGACGAGAACTCTGAGGCACACGGGGTAACTGTCTCCTCACCTGAAGCTAAGGATGAGGTTGCGGATGGGGCGTTTGAAGGCTCTGATCCGTCCTCGGCCCCGGGCGTTTGAGGCTGCCATGGTGGGAACATGACCCGGGGCAGAGCCGTGCACCGATGCTGTGGGTGCCGCCAACTACTTCCGCCCAGAGACACGGCTGCCGGTCCTAGAAGGCGGCATGGGCCTCCCACTGCCCCAAGGAGAACCCCCGCCAGAGAGCCCCTGGCCTGCGTGCTGCACACCCTGCCTCAGTGTGGGTCTCCATATGCTCCCCACGGCCAAGGCCATGGCCCTATGGGTCCTGCGTCTCTCTCAGCGGCTGCCTGTGTCCTGGCCTTCTCGCCATCCCGCCCCGCTGAGAGCCATGCGGGAGCCCGGCTCATACCGCCGCATGCTCCTGGGGACTCAGCCGGGCTTTCCGGACTGTTGGAATTTGGCTACGGCAATGTTTCTATGCTAGCCTCCTCTTCCCTTCCTCTCCCCTGCTCCCCGCCCTCCAGCCTTGCCTAAATGGTTTCTTCCTCCCAGAGTGTTCCATGCTCCTCCTAACCTTCCATTTCCACCTCTTGAAATCACGGCCCCCCACTTGAGATCCTGCTTAGATGCCTTCTCCTCCACGAGCCTTTTCTGCCGTCTGAATGGACCCCTGCCCTTTTAGAGCAGATCTCTCA